TGAATGGCCTTATCCATCCACGTTACCTGCATTCTTAGGGTGTGACTCTAGTTTAAGGGGGGAGGTGGACTCGCTCGAACGAAACTGATCTGGTTCTCGCTCATCACACGTCGACAATGGTGCCGACGTGATGGATGCCGATGTCAATGCAATCGAGATCGATGACGACAATGCTGGTATATTCAGCATCGCCAAAGACTGCCACAGTGAGGACGATGACGCCCTCACTGGTGAAGACAACGTTGTTTCAGCATTGCAAACGAAGTGCAATGCTGTTGACAAGGATGAATCAGCAGAGGAATTTCTGCTGTTTCGCAAAGCGGTTGTCCGCTTCGTTCAAGACTCTATTGCAGATGCACTAGACCGACAGAAAAAAACGCAGACGAACATGGAAAAGCAAATGTTCTTTCATTCGATGAAGGAGACCTAGTTTTACTGTCTACAGTAAATCTACCCAAAACACGTAGTGACAAACGTGGGCGGCAGTAAATAACTGCCCAATGTATTGGTCCATTTCGTGTGTTGGGCCGAATGGGCAACGCATACACATCGAACTGCCCCGTAAGATGCGTACGCATCCCACGTTTTACGTTGGACGTCTCCGCCCGTACTATCAGTACGAGCCCGTCTCGAGATGCGAAGAACACCTCCGCGGTCGAGAGCCGAGACCACCTTCGAGTGTCCCGTTTCAACGAGCCAGTCTGGTCGACTATCGAAGCGACCTTCTCACGCAGTTGAGCGATGTCTCGACGAGATACAGCCAGCTCGTCACGAAGAGAACGAACCGAACATTCGTTCTCAAGTTGCGCAAGCGCAAACGCGACACAATAGTTCGAACGATCGTGCGCTAAGGAATTGTAAGTATCCCTTACAAGGGTCATGAAGCTTGTAACGTCGAGCCGTCCATGAGCCAGGTCACCGTGTAACTGTTCTTTTACACGGTTCAGCTCTTGAACATCAAGCTAATCCAACCCTCGAGCCGGACCAAGTGTTCCCGCCACCACCACATCCTTTGGTGGATTCTGGTGGTGGTCAACGCTTTCTGGTGGAGCGTATTTTGAACCACCGCGATGTGAATGGCGTCCGGACGAGTTACCTCGTACGCTGGCGTGGCTATCGACCGGCGTGGGACAGCTGGGAGCTTCGTGCCCAGATGATTGTTGATGTCCTTGGTCTCGTCGAGAAAAATGACGAGACCCACCCACTGCGTTCGAAGAAGGGCCGTCGGAAAATGACCTAACCGAACGCGAGTACAGAGATTGCAAAGTGTCAATCGCTTCGGCCATTTCAGATGAGATGTAAGCCCTCCAGCAGGGAACATTAGGGAGGTAAGCCTTCCTAGGGGCACGGTCCGAGTTGTCCAGGCAACTTGGACACGAATCACCCCACGAGAGACAGGGCAATCCTGCCTCTCTTGAAAGCCGGTGCAACTTGTATCGCGCCCCGACGGGGTTGCGTTTCTCAAACCTGATGCGAGCTGCATAAGTTTGGCAAGCCAAGCCTCACGGCCAATGCACTCGATGTTGTGGATGAAGTCATTCCATCCTTGCACCAAGGCCTTACCGTCTCGACCAAGGTTACCATTATACCAACGATATTTGAAAGACACATTGGTGAAGAATTATCCCTCAGCACGGATAGTTTCCGTGCTGAAATAAGGAGGTCAGATCCTCTTACAGTCGAACAAAGGGATTCGATCCCGTTCGGTAGTCATGCCGGCCACTCTATTTGACGCATTGGATTACGGCATCCAAGAAGAATTCCATTTGAGGAGCGTGGCACAGGACACTTCAGTTCCTGGCCTCTTGAGTGGTGTCAGCACGAGCACTGACACCAGGGACAGCTCGGTCTCTCTAGTTACTCCGCTCGCGGTGATGCATAGGGGCATCACCACCATTACCAGGCGTCCTATCGTCGGATGGACTTGCGTGAGGCGAGGATTCGTCAGAAGAATTGCTTGGTCCAAAGATCTTGGACATGATGCCGCCACGTTCCCCAGATCCAACCAACCTGCCTCTTTGAGTGTCCGCCTCGGATGATCCGGAGGCGTGACTGTCGCGTTCGAGTCGGATGATGCATCCGACTCCCCGGAATCGATGAGCTCTATTTCAGTATCATCTACATTGCAATTTGAAGTACCTGCTGCAGATGCAGCGGATGTTTCTGTCGCACGTGGTGACTCACCACGTGGGCTGTTCACAACAGGCCGCCTGTTGCTGAATTGCAACAGCAGAAGAAGTATCACCTGCTGATGAAGCAAGAGAAGTACTCTCTTCGACTGCACGTATGCGTGCATCCGCTTTTCTTGCTGCTTCGGCAACACATCGCATGGACTTTGACACCATGCGTTGGATTGGTAAATGAATGAAACTTGACCAACAAGTGCTCCCCTTCCCAGAGTGATCCAACGGTGGTCCCTCTGTCCCAATCAATGCTATTATATCAACGGGTGATTGATGGTAAATGGGGGCGATGTAACGGGGTAGCCTGGTACATGATATTGACACCAAACGGTGTCACAAGGGAGATCGTCAAGCGTGACAATTCCTAACAATTTTATCCGAGACAGATAATATCGAAGTAATATTATCTTCTTTTAGGATAACATTCATGCGCTGCTCCAAGATTGGTTGATAAAAGACACATCAACCATAGATTGCCACTAATCGCTGCTAGACGCGCGTAATGAGTGGTGAGCAGGTTGTCGTCATACGACGACGTAGATTAATATAGTTAGATAAAGATTAAAGTTATATTGATAGCTTCACTATATTAGATACAGTTCTCGTTTTAGCCTTTACTTAAACTAGCTGTTTGAGTAGTCAGCTTCCTCTGCACGCACTAATGTATGTGAAGTTTCGTGGCACCCCAAACAAAGGGTGCCCCGTTACACTTTACTTAAACTAGCTGTTTGAGTAGTTTAGCTTCCTCTGCACGTACTAGTGTTAGTCAAGTTTCGGGGCACCCCAAACAAAGGGTGCCCCGTTACATTTTCTGTGCACATGAGGACGTCTTGTTCCCAAAAAAGCTTGCAGAGAGTTCGTAACACGCGTGGCTTGCGGGTATGCAGCCGTTTAAGTAGCAGAAAGAGTATACTACTGCTTATAATGGTTGCAATGGTCGGGTGTGTCAAAATGATTCGTCTGCATCGCTTAACTATCAGCTGAGTTTCCAAAATGCCTTAAAATATATAAATTTTTACAAAGGTTCAGTAAGAGCTCCAAGACGAGGTTCAACAAGTGTTTCGATTAATTTTAATAAACACACTCTAATGTGATGACCAATCTAAACTGGGAACCCGTCCCGCAGCTTCCCATATCCAGCATTTCGTACGTCCCGCACAACCCACATTCATAATTTGATATACATAACGTCGAGATTCTATAAATAGTCTTTTTAAACCCGCAACCATTGTCCTGTTCGTTACTTAGATAAAGAAGATATCCAGTTTCTTCTGAGGCATGCATCAGGGCACTTGGGGATGCTTGTAAAGACAGTTCAGTTGCCTCAAAAGACGACCAGATAGACCTATTGGTTTCCGGACCAAACCTGTTGCGCCTCAGCTGACCTATCTGTAATTGCCATAAGCTTGTCAAATTATTTTCCGATTCCACCAAGCTTGGGGATCGCTTTCGAGCATTTTGTACAGCTTGTACTTTTTGCCAAGAATATGTTGCAAGAGTAGACCCTTTGTGGTACCAATTGAATTCTTGTTTAACATGTCACATTGCCTCCATACCCGTTGAAGCAAGTAAGTATCAACCACTAACGGTTTATAATGCCTGTTTGGCTGTATTTATTAATCTTTGGTTTCCTCAGCGTATATGGAAGCGCTCAAGTGTGCGCAGGTCTGCGGTATTTCTTATAGCAGGGTACATGTTCAAAGACCTCGTCCCAGTGTCCTGCGTGATATCCCATCCTGGGCGGGATGACACGCGGGATAGGCCAATCCCACTCCATTCCGCGAGGCACGGAGCCCAAATTAACTTTAACGAAAGAATATTAATAGTAATACAAATGTGATAAACGTATTTTGACGATCCTTTTCAAATTTTTAGCATTAAATTCAAACCCATAATTTAAACTAGAATGCCTACCAAAACCGGAAAGGTAGCATAATGTCACGGACCGACCGTCTCTACAATGGCCTTGTACTGAGATAGTAATACGTCATGGTTTGGGTAATCCGTGACGAAGCCACAACAGACTCTACCGTGATCAGTTCGCTGTCGCAGTTCATTTTTCGCGTAAGTGACAGACAGGCTTCTAAATTAATCGAGAGAGTGACTGTTGCTATCACATACGAAACCCAAGTGTTCATCGACCATGCGCAAGTCGTTGGTACGATCAGATTTGAATCGCACATGATCGCTTCAGCGATTTAAGTAAAAAAGCACCATCGCATCTTTTACAAAATCACGTAAAATGGACGGATATCACGTCGAAGTCGACAATGCGCAAGCTAACATTCGGAACGATAGTGCCCTGCAATGAGTACCAATTTGCCAAGTCACGTGGAAGTGGACAAAAAGTTACATTGAAGTCGACAATGCGCAAGCTCTCATTTGGTGCGACAACGCCCTGCGATGAATTTCAACAAGGCTCACAATCCTACTTCTTGCTGGAAAGCTGCTTTCAGCGAACAACAAGCCCGACTTATGTGCTTCGAGGAAATCACGATGCACGCACAAAGACGACGCATGTTACAGGTCTCGACGGGGATTGGTCCGTGCTGCACCCAAAATCACGTGCGAAGCGCAGGAGCAAAGAATGGTAGAAAAAGCCCTTAGGATACACAGTATAGCTCGGATCAGACAATGCCCGTTTAGCGTGCAGTCGTAAGCAAACAAACCTCAATGACACACGAAGGGAGCTACAGTCCTGTTTGCTACTCATCTCGCCTTCAGGATCGGTCATTTCGCAATTTGCGCTCCAGAGTCAACCTCATCAGTCAACGGCAAGTAGACTCTGACTTTTCGGTTGGAATCGCGCATCCCGGCATGACTCGAAATGCGCCTGACACGCCCTTGTTCGCGGCCATCAAGTACGACAATGGCAAAACTCTTCTCCAGGAGACAGGCGTTCCCGTGGACGTTGATGGTGCCGTATCTACGCACCATCAAGAAGCGCAAGACGACAAGCAGTCACTTGTCAATTGCAAGAAACTGCAAGGCTTTCAAGAGGATGCAGATGATTCCTCGCCGCCAGTTTTCAAGCACACAAAAAAGTCGCACGCGTCCTGGACAATTGGGAGTCTGGGCATGCTGCTCCTTGTCGCCTTCATCCCAGTCATTCGTGGTGGTCCGTTGCACCCTCCAAAAGAGCTTCAAGAGGATACCACTGACGCGGCTGATTGGATTGAGCTGCTGCCACAAGACGTTGTGAGTCATCTGGACACTCAAGTGGATCCGTGCGACGATCTGTACGCGTTTAGTTGCGGGTCGTGGCTTAAACAAGCTGAGATCCCTGACGACCAGTCGAGCGTGTATCTGTCGTTTACCACCGTGCACGATGAGAACCAAAAGGTCCTGAAAAAAGTGATGCAGCAAGGATGGCCACTACTCGGCGATCTGTACGACTCTTGCATGAATTTTAGCAACACAAGCAGCGCGACAGCAGACGCAGCGTCGGTGTCGGTCTTGTCGCCAGCACTTGAGCAAATTGAAGCTGTGACGAGCAAAAGCGAATTGTTTCAGCTGGCTGGCAAGTTGTCAATAGTAGGGTCTAATTTTTTTACGGGGCTCGGAGTGTCGGCAGATGCTAGAGAAGCGACCGCGTACGCGCTGTACGCGTCCCAGACGGGTCTTTCGCTGCCGGATCCGCAGTACTACCTGGACCACAAAATGTTTAAATCGATCAGTGACGCATTTCATGCGTACGTCGTGGAGTTGTTTTCGCTGGTTGGCTTGGAATCACACAAAGCAGCATCGCAAGCTTCCTCAGTAATTTCTTTTGAGCAAACGATCGCACCGTTGTTCGTACCGAAGGAAGAGCTGCAGGATCCGGTGGCAACATACAATCGTATGACTGTAGCTCAGGCCGCTGAGAAGTACCCGTTACTCGTCGCACAGTTCATGGATGGGAAGGGGATGCTGGAGAACCTAGTTGCTCGGAACGCTAGTGTCATTGTCCAAACGCCTTCGTTCTTTGAGCGTGTTGGGGATCTCGTGACTGGAGATTCTGTGACGCTCGACACTCTGAAAGCCGTGCTTACGTACCAATACATCAACGCCCATGCAAGTGCCTTGAGTGAGCCTTTCGTCCAGGCGTCTTTCTCTTTCTTCGCGCAAACGCTCGGGGGCCAAAAGAAACGTGCTCCGCGATGGAAGGTGTGTGTTCAGCGTGTTGTAGACTATTTTCCTGATTTGGCTGGCAAGTACTTTGCACTTCATCGTTTTGACAAGGCTAGTGAGCGACTTGCCGACCAGCTCGTGATGCACGTCCAAGCATCGTTTGAGAAGGATCTTGAGCATGTGGATTGGCTTGACGAACCCACTCGGCAGGGTGCTATTGACAAGTTGGGCAACATGACCAACCTCATCGGGTATTCGAACCGCACCGAACATTTCCCGCACAAACTGCGCGGTGACGCGCCACTCGTCAAAAACATGCGGATGATCTGGAAGCACTACTTTGATCGAGATGTGGCACGGATCGGTCGCCGTGTAGTCCGCAACGAATGGGCTATGACAGGCGCTGATGAAAACGCTTACTACCAGCCAACAGCAAACCAGATTGCCGTCCCTGCCGGGATTCTCCAGCGGCCGTTTTTCGCTCGCGAACAACACCCTGCACGCAATTTCGGCGCGATTTGTAGTATCATTGGGCACGAACTCACGCATGGCTTCGATGCCTCTGGAAGACAATTTGATGGTGGCGGCAACTTGCGGGACTGGTGGAGCAATGACACGGAAACGAAGTTCTTACAGCGGACTGATTGTTTTGTGAGGCAATACGATGAGTTTGCGGTGACAAGTGGCGACGATCAGGACAAAGTGCTGGGTCACGTCAATGGCAATTTCACTCTCAGCGAGAACATCGCGGACAACGGTGGTCTAAAGTTGTCCTTCCACGCATATCGGACCTACGTCGCCAAGCAGGCCAAGGAGCTGAATAAGATCAACGAAGATGAAGCAACAACCGTTTTGCAAAGCCAGCCAAAGCTTGACATACCTGCCGATGTGGCTGACAAGCTTTTCTTCATCTCATTCGCCCAGGAGTTTTGCTCTAAGGTGAGTGACGCCAGCATGATTGAGATGTTGGCCACAGATCCGCACTCGCCTAACCAGTGGCGCATAAATGGAGCTGCAAGCAACTCGCACGATTTCGCACGCGTGTTTTCGTGCCCTGCTGGCTCACCCATGAACCCAACGAAAAAGTGTAAGCTTTGGTAGGTTGCCTTTGTACGCACGAAGTGATTGCTACTTAGGTCTGTATTATTCCAATTCTAGACAACAACAGAGCTAAGATGTTTCGTAAGAAGAAACGTGATCTTCGAATCAGTATCATCGTCTTCCTTGTCACCTCGAGGCTAAAGCTGAACACGCCGGCATTCCTGAATAGGACAAGGTGTAAGTTAGAGGTACAAACAAAGGCTGCTCAGTACACGGCAATCGTGCTCATTCTCAAACACGTAGTTGTTCCCGTAAGAACGATCTCGCAGGATGTGGTCCCTGACTACATTACACAGCTCCAGTGTGTGTCTGCTTGCACGATGTAAAAATAGCCCTCGCAGTTTTCTCAACGCTTAGCGCCCGCCCGTGGCAAATAACTTTCTATCCGCACGCCTCTGTGCACATGGGCATTATCAGAAAATGTACTCCATCGTCTACTTCATCCCGCGACAGCATTGTACTTCTGATGTCGGGCGTCACGATCCTTCGTAGTGAAGTAGATATTCAGTTGTCGTACATTAACCATCACCGCGAAGACGCGCGTGTCGTGGTGATACGCCACAGTAGATAGAACAAGTGATCCACTCTGGGTAGGTCCAGAGTCAGGACGGAAATCAACACGACTAATGCGTAGATGTTGCGGTCCACGCAATTGTCTGGAAATGGGCAGCTAAACGTACACGTTGTAACCCAGTCTTTCGAGCATGTCAGTCATTCCAATTGGAACCCGTTCAACTAACTACTGGTCAACGACAGTACCATGACCTTGTGAATGAAGAAGCACTTCGGGCGCAAAGGTGACAATGTATGGCACGAATACCGCAAGACTTCGGTCGTATTCACGCTTGCTGACATGTTATTCAAGCTCAGCTCAATATCCGTCGTCGCCGCTTTCACGATTAGTTTGTATGACCTCGAAGACGAACAAAGCACTGTCCAAGTGTTGCAGCCGGGCTGCAGTAAATGCGCACTACCACCCAACGACAAACCGCCTTCTTAAGGCGTAGCAGGTGTTGTGGCCGTTGAATTCGAAGGTAGCGGTCGCTGCTGTAGCCGGTCTAGACGCGCGTGGTAAGAATCCGCCGGACGTGGACATAAATCCCATCAGTGCCGGTTCCTGAACGAACAATTCCTGACGTTATGCGCTACCACATACTTCTTATCGTCATCAGGGACACATTCGACAAAGTGGCTCCAGTGTTATAAGATAGATACCACGTCAATGCATTCTGCACGGAATGCGGCACTACAACCTCGCGATTGGCAAAACACGGATTGCTATGTATATCCCCGAGCGAGACGACTTCGCGTTGAATGCTGTAAAGTAGCAGATTGCGACGCTTGCTACGATAAAATACGACACCGCGCTAAAGCAGATACGGACACTGCAGCACACAGTTCCTGATGTTCGAGGTGCTGTGCAACATCATAACATGTTCTACTTGCACTAAGTCGGTTGGCGTTTGTTGCTTTGCATTTAAGACCTTATCATCCGCCTTCAATGTTTTGACGACACAGTACATCTCATGTTGTTGCCCGATGCAGTTGCTGTAGGAAGTGGGAACGTATCGCGATAGCCAGAACGCACACAACTGGGTGCAAACTGATGAGTGATATTAGATTCGTGATCTCTTGGCAAACAAGAAATCCTTACGGCAGGGGAAATTTTTAAATGCCGGGGAAAATAAGAGGGGGTTTACAATGCCCAGTGGTTTTTGCAAAATGCCTTCATTCAGACAAACGCCTAGTGTTTCTTTTCTTGGTGTATGCGCTCCTCTGTATTCGCAGGTCAGACAGTAGGACATACACGTTCCTTGTTCGATCCATCCTTTCCATAGCGTAAGCTACATTGTCGACACGAACGTAAACATCGCTTCTATGCCGCTGGAACGCCTTTAGAAAATTAAACGCAACCGGTGATAAGGTCACCGGCGCGCTGGACACCAAAGGAGACCCTTGACAATTAATGTGAGAGCATAATTTCTGTCAAGGATGTAGCTTTTGCCTACGTGCTTCAAATGATATTCGCACGGAGTATGGAAAGGCAGGACGAGCTCTGAGAGTGCATACAGTGCGTACAGCGAAGGAACACCATCTAAAGTCCACCGCCCATCTACAATAGGCGAAAGAGAGCTTCTACCAGAGTTTGGCTGCCCGTTAAATATTTTAGTTGGTCGAGAAGCATTACTTATCGCTTGGAATAGCCCGTAAAGCTCGGCAGGCAAGCGAAGTGGAACAGCTGTATTATTGATTGCGAAATGTACAAGCCGATCGCCAAGTGTGAATTGAAATGTAAGGAGACTTTACGAGAGAGGTGGAAAGCAGTCAGGCATTCTCGGCCACAGTCTGCACCGTTACAAAGTAATGAGTAAATAAACATCAAGGTTCATTGCCTCGGGATAGTTATCATTTACAGCCCATGATGTTATTTGCGTGATGCCCGAGTTCAAATTAGGCTAACGTCACATGTTCTTTTCGGGCCTGCGATGCACATCAGCAGGTATGGTTCGCGTTGGCATCATCAAGAGCTACCTATTCTATCCGTGTCCACGCGACCTGTCCTATTTCTGCGCGCTATAGATATGGCTGAAGTGTACGACTACTCTAGGTTTGAGCTGATGTCAAAAATACTCAAGTGCTTAATGTGGTCACGTTTTTTTTCCAGCTGCCATGAGGCGATATGGTCGATCTATTCGCATTTCCAGGTATCGCTATCTCTTACAGACTCGATTTAATTGTTTTGGCTGCGACAGAACGTCAAGCCACCAAGACGGTGGCAGCACTATGCCGAGGAGTGAAGAAGGTGCAAATTCTGCTATCTGACCTGCAAACAAGGAGGAATGCATTCATCTTAAAAGAAACAAACTTAGCAATTATCATCTTGCGGACATTTTCAAGAAGCACATTACACTTTAAGAATCCCCAGAATAAAAGTTTTTCTCATTTTATCATATTAAAAAATGCTATTTTTAAAAGAAACGTGCCTCATTTATAAAGCTAAAAAACTTACAAGAAAATTATGAAAGCCCATAACATTACAAAATTATAAAATAATATAGAAAATTGGAGAATAAAAAATATCTTAAATAATTAGAAAATGAAAAAACGCTTTATGTCCTCGTATTCTAACGTCGATGTGGTACACACATACTGACATTGTGCTTCGATGTAGGACTCACCCGATTAAATTTCCTTTCACACACAAAATGCTGATACGTCTGACTTTCCAAAATACATTAGTTCTTTATTACGATCACGCAGAATTTCACTGTAACAGAGTAGAATTATGCTATGCTTGCGTATCAATGCTACACTCCGTCATTACATATCTGTAACGTGAAAAAGGTTTCAAGCTAGATGCCTTAGAGAAAATTTAGGTCGGTTTTTAGCGGGTGTGCAGTTCTTAAACATACAAAAACGCCACCAATTACTACTAATGTACTATATAAGAATACGCTAATATGTTCTAAAACACACGGAACAACGCAGCGGGTGGTGTGGCACTAGATATGACCAGTAGATGACCTCATGCCATGTGCTGGCGGATTGTTTACGGTGAAATCTTGTTGAAGTCCGTATTGTACGCTGAATACAAAGCATATCAAATCCTTTAGAATTTGACCAATGCTGGAGTGACTTAACACTTCGATTAAGTCGAACGTCTTGTGTGTGATTTGATTCCTCTTGAGCTCTCCACGTACATCGGGTTATCTTTGGAGTTTAAAACTCATTAACAGCACCGACTTATTCCTGCAACAGCACCAACTTATTCCTGCGACTGCGCAAAAATGTATCCATTAGAAATGGTAAAGCCCTTATGAATCGATAACAAGTGTCAAACACGTAAAATTGACTCGTGATAGTCTATTAAATAAAAAGGGTAAGTAACTAGATATTACGAGCAGGAAACGTAATCATATCCCTTAACCAGACGACGAAAACAACAGCAGCACTCTGGTACCAATGTCGTGGAGTGGGTTGTCAAAACTGTTTGACGAGACTCCAAACCACTCACTATGCAGGACTGCCGAATGTCGGAGGGGGCACTCCGATGCCGCTTTTGGACCTTGAGTCACCTTGCGTGCACGTCGGCTCGCGGGTTTCGCTGTTCGGAGGACTAGGTGATGATCGTAGACGTCGGCCTTGTTGGAGGTCGACCTGGGGCCCCCCGAGCGGATTTGCCTCAGTCGGAGTCCAATTTAGGCGGCAACTCAATCGACTTGATCTAGAGTGGTCTTATAACCAGTTGTCTCAGGGGTGCTTACCGTCTGGCCTTTACGTTTCTTCTCCCTTACCACTAGGGTATGGAGACCGCTTCCTGTAGCGGGCTTGAGTTAGGGGGGCTACTCTACAAACCCACAAGCCACCGTACTTCCTGGACTTCTACTTACACATGAGATTCACCGACAACCGTATATTCGACGGATGGGCCAGACAGATCGATGCCCGGAATAGGTCGGTAGACGTACATGTTTCTTACAAACGACACGTCGTGTTACTGAGATCGCGAAGTAAGTAGTACTTAATGTCGTCCATACCTTTAAACTCCTTTACTCAATCCCTGCCTTGCCTTGCACCTCGGTTCGCTATGAGGAGTGGCCAGGAGCCACCAGACCTTGAGAGGCCAAGTCGTCCTATGGGTGATCAGGTCGGCCGATGGGTGGCCAGGTCGGTCAACGGGTGACCGAGGCCCACCTTGGGCGACCAGGCCGACCGATGGGTGGCGAGGTTGGCCTACGGGGAGCCGAGGTCCACCTTGAGCGACCAGGCCGACCGACCAATGGTTGAGAACGATCCATATCGGTACAGTTTAACTGGTATCGTTGGTCGGTATGACCCCGTTTGTGGTAACTTAACCGCTCGTCACGGTTGGACCCAATGGCAATTTTTTCTAGTGACCTTCAGGTCTCCCGTCCCCTTCCTGGCCGCGAGGTCCTATGTCAATCCAGCTCCTCGACCCTTAAGCTTATCATTTCTGAAAACTCGCTTCACCACACCAA